ATTCCTTCCACTCAGGGTTGTATTCCTTCCACCCAACTACTCTGACTGAAGACCTCTCCCCTCACTTGTGCAGGGAAAGATGGAACTGGAGGAAACAATTCACGTGTGGAAGCAGCGGACACATATTATGCGGTTTTTCCATGAAACAGAAGCACCAAGGCCAAAGGATTTCCTGTCCAAGTTCTACGTTGGCCACGACCCATGAAGTCACCCAGTGGGAAGGTGCATGTTGATATTTAAATATTTTACAGCACAAATAAACTCTATATGATGGTCACTTCATGACAGAATTCCACTGGTGAACCAACAGGAAACTACTTCTGCAGTCTCTCACTTTTTGTCTGTGCACGTTGGGTCCCGTATACACGCCACCTGTTCTTTCCCTTCTCCTGAAGTGTGGTGCTTCCAGTAAATTAGATTCTCTTTTCTCAGTCTTGCATGTTGGTAAACAGGAAGGATGAGGCCATCTGCTCAGAAACTGTCATTCTGGGTATGATGTTGGATGGCTTTGTTAACTTAGCAATGTTTCTGCAGCCGCCGGATTGGATAGCTTGGTGTCACTGTACGGATTACCCAAAATTAGCCAGCTCTTGGTATTGGAGAAGGATCAGAAGAGCACTGAGGCCCAGAAGCAGAGCTGACAGGCTGGGCTGTTTCCCCTGGGCTCTAAGAAAATGGCTGCTCAGAACCCTAGCCCTCTACTTGCAACAAGCCGTGGTCCTTAAAATGAGGTTAACTTCCTACACCATGAGGCATTCTACTAGGGACACAGCTGTTCAGTGCACACACTGAACAGAAATATCCTCACTGTTTTTTGCAAACGAATGTGGCTATAGTGACGAGAGAATAAACATTGACCCAGGTTAAAGAACTGATCTGTTTGCTTTGGACGGTAGTCTTCTCAGTTCCCTCCCCAGATAGTGTCAATGCTGGAGAAAGGGGTTCAGTGTCTATAGGCATAATCACCCTGAGGAGTCTCACATTTTTCAACACCAACTCCTTTTATTATTTTTCCATCTAAGGAACGCAAGTTTTGAAAGAATTCTAAAAATTACATATTTCTTAAGGAGTTTTAATCAGTCAAGCTCCTTGTTATTATTACATGTGATAACGAGCCAGTGTTACTCAACACAAAAAAAGCTCGAGGCTTTAGTTAGCCTGTGCAGATTAATGAGGGAAAAGACCTTCTGTTAGATTTTTGTAAGTAATGAAAATTGGTGCCAGGTCCCCTTAATTACCTTGTGGATCCATTAGGGACTGGAGATCCTGGATTGTAAATCAAAGACCTCTATGTTCAGCTGATAGAGAAAGGACAAGGACAAGGACAAGAAACTGCAACCAGAGCCTGCTTGTACTGAGACACTCCAGCCATCACTCAGTCATACAGAGCTGATGTTTATTATGTTTATTCATAATTTGATTGTGCTCAGTGGACAGCACATCTCTGGGAGCCTCCAACAGCCTGGGGATCTGAGCTGTGGTCACAGACCATGCAGAAGGCTTCCCCTGCACCCATTTGCTGATAGGGAAGGAAGAGAGGCTGCAAGCATCATCGTTTCTTAATTAAGTTAGGGCTTTCTCCTTTCTGTACTTCCTCCGTGCCCTGGAAGAAAGGAAAGCAGCAGTGAATTGGGTGACAGAACAGTCCTCTAACCATATACCAAAAGAGAATTCCAGAGTAGTTCTAACAAACATGGCAGGAGAAAGGCAGTTTTTAGTACATTTGATTATTCATGCATATATTTACTGAACATTCACTAGAGACCAGGCACTGGGGGCCCAAAGGTATAAAAAACATGTTCTCTGCCAGCAAGATTAGAGTTTAGGGTACATCTGTGTACTTAAGCATATAATACTGAGTGTCACAAGAGAGGTACTGGTCACTTGGGGCGGAGCAGTCACTTTCAAGTGGAAGAATGAGGAAAGACTTCATCAAAGACAATGAAGAATTGGAATAAGAGCAATGGGAAACAATCTTTCAACTGAGATGAATAACGAGTCACTGAGAGTGTGTAAGAGTGTGGGTCATTCAAGAAATCGTGAATACTGGGGATAGGTATGTGATCGGTGTAGGTAGGTGAGTGAATGTGGAAGATAAGGCTGGAATAATAGGTGTGACCAGATTGTGGCAAGTCTTAAATGCCACATTAAGGAAGCAGGAGTGGCCTTATTTACAAAAGTAATGCAGCCCATCGGCACATACCAGAGCATGGAAGTCAACCCAAGAAAGCTGAATGGAACGGGGACAGGGGAAGGGTTTATGAACAGCATATGAACCAGGTTGCAGTGCCTGTGTTTTGCCTATACTGACACAGAGCTTGGTAAGCAGGGCTCACTGGTGAGGACCTGCAGTTTCTAAATTTCAATGTGGAGCTGCTGAAATGAAGCTATTTGTGGTGAGTGTGTAAGGTATATTAAATTGTCTAGAAAATTTGTGGGTTAAGAGAATGAGGGTACACAAAGGGCAAATGAAAAGGCTGGCTAGGATCCAACTTAAGAGACCCCAGTAAATTTGTGAGTCAGTGATAGTTTCCTTCATCCAACATAGAGAAAAGGTGAAATAAAAATATAAGTCACCGAGTGAGTCAGTTCATTAAAGATCTGTGCTTCTGCTTTGAGTGTCCAGATGCTGCCACCAGGCCAAACAGCATCACAGTTCAGATGCTCCACCCCCCTTCCTGCTGCTGGTCTACAGAGGGGAAAAACAAGTCTCACCTGTTAGTCATCATCATCATCATCCTCTGGAACAAAAATGTCATGCTCCTCAAGAAGAGCAGCAAAGTTCTTGCTAATGAGCGTTCCGACATAGAGAAAGGGGATCACAATGGAGAACACACGGAGAAGGCCAAAGGACATCTGCAGAGGGTCAGAGTAGTGGCTGTGAGCTCCAGAGCCCGTTCTGGTAGGACCACAGAGGGCCTGACCCTCTGAGGGTCATTCCCTCCTGTGGACCTCAGACCCATCATAAGCAACTTGATTTTAAAGTCCTTGGAAAAATTCAGAGCAAGAAAAATAATTAGAAGAAATAAAGTGATTTTATGGCCATCAAACTGTATACCAGAAAGAAAAGGATAAGGCACTTTACAGACATCTAAAAATTGGGGCACAACCTATTAATTATTTGCAGGTACTTATAAGACAGCTGAGAAAGTACTGAACTGGACTAGGGAAATAGAGTTCAGCTTTATTTTAAGACACTACATGAAAATAGACCACAAAAGGATGTACAGTGAACTACACAGTTCTTTAACTGGTTCACTGGTATCTGAGAAATTTGATTTCATCACATTAAATTTTAGAAACAGGTGTTTTGAAATTCGAGCATGTCTTTATATTAAAAGACTAGCTATTTGGATGGACTGGCAGAGTTTCCGTAAAATCTCAACATTTCCTCTCATATTTTACTACGGAATTAACAACAACAACAACAACAACAAAAAGTTTCATTTGTGTCTCTTGAAAGGCAGCTCTCCTGCAATATGACCCTGCTTCCTGCTGTAAAACAACCCTAAACGCACTTCTCTGTGTCAGTTTGCATTGGCCAGACTAGCTTTAAAAGAATTTGGTTTTGTTAAGTCCCACACAGCCCTGGAGTCAAAAGGCCAACTTGTTTGGTATAAGGGACTGTTCCTGTTTTAGTGAGAAAATCCAAGGGCACTGAGGGCAGGAAACCTAGATTCCGGAACCTAACTCAGCTGCTAGCTTTGGACACTGGCTTTGCCACTCTCGCCCCTGATTCTTCATTTGTAAAAACACTGATTACAATACTTCCCTGCACACCTAATCACATGAATTAAATACTAAGTCAAAACTCACAAAAAGATATCTGTCCCACGTACCCTTCGTTTACAAACTCCTTCCACAGTTCGTTATTTCATCCCATTCAACTCTAAGTTACATGACTTGTCTACATTGGATACATAAAGCAGAGCCCTGTGGCTCCCGACAGCTAGGACATCGCGCTCCTTACGATAAGCTAGTGCAAAGTGCCGTCTTTCTCAGCTCTGCCCTCCTACCCCCTAACTTCTGCCTCCCTGCACCCAGCTCCACACCGGGATCCTACCCGACCACTTCCTCTCACTTGTCAAAATTAGCAGCATTATTAGCGCAAAACTTTGTCCTTGATCCGTCTTCCGGTGTAAGGAGGTCGTACGACTGGTCTCTGTGCCTATCAATCAGCGTCGACCCGCACACACTCCCCACAACGATTGGCCTCGGCCCCTTCGCCCCGCCTCTTGGGAGACACTCACTTTCACCGGTTTGGGCAAAATGGCGCCGCTGCGAGTAACGATGACTGACCTCGACGGTACCAGGCTCCGACCTGAGCCGCCCCGTGCGGCGGGGACATCACCACCTTTCCTCAGGCGCAGCCCACTCCAGAAAGCCCCAGATCGGACGGGTGCCAATGCCAGCCAGCGAGCCGCTCCGGACGCCATCTCCCAGCTCCGCCCCTAGCCCGGGCACCTGGTCCCCACCGCCCGGCCCCGGTGACGCCCCCCGGAAGAACGTCGCCCCAAACCTCGCGAGGCTTTCGGGATTTGACGAGAGATCCAGTTTACAGACTCGCGAGTCGCGCTTAGTTCCTGTTGCGGAAGGAAAGAGGTATTTGTCACCGGCCCGACGTGGTGATGTCACGAGGATGTCGCCGATGCCCGGTACACCCCTCATATCTAGCCTGGTGGGCAGGACCATCAGATGGGGTTCGTCCGGCGTGAAGCCTTCTGATTTCTGTCATTGTTCCTGCACCAAGGACAGTCAGGGCTTGGCAGAGCAGGTAGTTGTTGAAATGAGAAAATCGCTTTAATTGAACTTAAAGCTGTTGTATTTTTTAAAAAATACAATTCAGATTTACTACTCCTGCTACTTGGTTCTGGAATTTTATTTCATGTCAAGAAATATGTATAGCCAAATGAAAAATATATCTGAAAAGGAAGAATATGGGGGCTTTCACATAAATTGACTGTCTAGGTGATTACTGAAATAAACTTGAAGAACCAAAATGAGTAATTAAAAAAACATAATGTTTTAATAGTATATAAAAAAAGGCTGTAACAATAGGAATGATAACAAAAGCCTGTAGTATCTGTGTATAAAACAAGGTACAGTGGGCTGTGGGGCTCCTATACAGGGCTGGGAAGGTGGCCTCTCTCCCTGGGAACCCGTCCTGGACCCTGGGTGGCGTCTCAGCCTCCTGGGCTTAAAGAGGCTCTGAGCCCAAGCCTCTAGCACAGTTGGGCCCTCGTCAGGCTGCCCAAGGCCCCAATAAGGCAGAGTCTAGGAAGGGAGAGGTTGTTTCTGCTGGGGAGGAGTAAACAGTAAACTCTTGAAAAAGCACTGGCCCTGGTGTCCTGACCAGCAGGACAAGGGCTGAACCAGAAGGCAGAAGGCTTAAGGCCTATCCTGTTCCTCGCAGTCTGGCTGGCTCCCCTGGGCCCTCTGCAGCCATACCCGCCTCAGTTCCATAATCTCCTGGCCATACCAGTAGTGCAGGGTAGAGAAGCAGGAGGTCTCAGGGGACACAGGGCTCTGCCCCCTACCTAGGAGGAGGCTGGCAGGACTTTGCAACTCCCACTCAGACAAGCCCCGCCCTGCTGGCCTGCTGCCCGCTTCTTCCACCAAGCCCATAGAGCTACAGTCCCTGGAGAGGGAGTGGCCATTCTCCAGGCCAGAAGACCAGTGGTCAGTAGCCTGAGCCTTAGGGCGGCTGGGAATGGCCTTCCAGGATGAGCGACGATGCAAGTCCAGGCTGTGGCGGGCATCACGCAACTGGCTCTCCAGCTCACGCACTACCAGGCGCATGTAGCCGAAGCTTGCCCTAGACAGTGCCTTCACCCATGCCTCCTGGGCTGCCGGCCCATCTGCTGCAAGTAGGTGTGGACGCACGCCAGGGGCGTCGAAGCGGATGGCAAAGGCAAACTCTTCAGGCACAGGAGCCTCAGCCAGCTCCACTGTACAGCCCTCCAGCACCACCAGGCTCAGCGGGGCCCGGCCTTCTCGATTCTCAAAGGCGAAAAGCAGGTTGCCCTTGAGGACAAACCAGCACCTTCGGCCAGCACCACTGGGGGTGGGTGGAGTCCCTGCGCCCCCCCAAGTGCGCAGGAAGCCCGTGTGGTCTGCTGGGGAGTCACTCAATGCGTAGTGGGCCACACTCCTCTCGTTCAGCTTCATGGCTCCCATAAGAACACTGTGAGGGGAAAGAGGCAGCCGCAGATCAGAGAGGGAGCAGCCTCTGTGCCCCTGTGGGGAAAAGAACATGGGCTCTGGAGGAGACCTGGGCCCCAACACTGTTGCATCTTCTCATTTGCTGTGCTCTGAGGCTCTCAGTGTCTTCATCTGTGAAATGGGCTCATCTCCCCTGCCTTTTCTCAAAGGGTTGTTGTGAGGATCATGGAAAAAACAACTTCAGAGAACTCAAGAAAAGGATAGTGTGATTGTATCAGACCAGGAAATATGTCAGGGCTGTAACATTACTTTTTAAAACTCAAAGAAAAAAGGTATCAGCTGAGCTGAAATGGACCCGAATCCTATAGAAACCATTGTGCTTAAACTATCCCCTAATTTGAGGGCCCCTTACCTCCAACCCTGAGGCCAAGCCTCCAGGGTTTCCGTGACCCCCGTAGGCCCCTGCTGGCCTCGCATTTATTAATGGTACAGTTGTCCTTTAGTATCCTTGAGGGCTAGATGGGGCTGGGGTGGGGCAGGCCTGCCTCATTCCTCCGTCAGTGTGGGCTCGGATAGGAACCTGCTCATTAAAGAAGAGGGTAGTACAAACCAGGGCATGGTTGAGTAGGATCAACCTCAGCCACTGAATGTTGGTGCCCCACAGATCACAAGTGGCATCTAATCCAACTGTCCTCCTGAATCATGGGAAACTGAGGCCAGAACAATGAAGGTGAACTGCCTGAGGTCATATGGCAAGTGAGAAGCAGAGCTTGGTCTCCTGATTCCCTCACACCCTTTGGGGGCAAGTCTTGGCAGTGACCCACTTACCAGCAGAGCTCAGTGGGCAAGGGCAGGGGCCTCTCTTGTCTGGCCACACAGCTCAGCCCTTAGATCACGTGGTTTCCAGGGCACCTGCAAAAGAATTCTCAAACCCAGTCAAACCATCCTAAAGGATGAGTCTGCCTACTCAGCCCCTGGGGTCAAATGAAACTACCACCTCCAGGAAGCCTTCCCTAACCCCTGATAACCCCCCACCCACCCACCAGGCCACCCAGGCCCCTTATGAGCAATTTAAGGAGCTAAGTCCCATTGTCCTGATCATCACACTTCAGACCTCAGCTCCCTGCTCCCTAAGGCTAGAGTTAAGTGCCCTCATAGCTTTTCCCTTGTAGCATTTGTCACAGTTTATTTGCGGTCTTTAAGTAACCTAATCTGAGAGGCCTGCCCTGATCACTATATCTAAGGTGGTCCTGATCACCAAGGTGGCCTGATCTAAGGTGACCCAACCAGCAGCCCCCTCATTTCTGTTTTCATTTCCTTCATTCTGCAATGATCTCTTGTGTTTACAGCGCTGTCCCCAGCCCCATAATGCCTAGGGCAGGCCTGACCTTGGCTCCTAGTGGAACCCCCAATATACAGTCCCTTCCAGAGGGAGGCCCTCTGGAAATATTTGTTTAAAAACTGGGAATACAACAGTGGACAAAATACGGTCCCTCCCTCCCTATATTTCAGGGGCAGAGACACTTTAATAATAATTAGTGCATTTTAAATTTTAATTAAATAATAAATAATTTAAGGACCAGTATGATAAGGGCTATGGAAAGAAACAAGCAAGGTCCTGGGATGGGGGAGGGACCATTCTGGACGACGAGGGGGGAGATCACAGATGTTTGCCCGAGAACTGGCTCATCTCCCTTCCACTGGGCGCAGGGAGAGAGGGTCTGGAGCTCACAGAACTGTCTCCCCTCCCCTGCCGCGTGCCTGGGAAATGCCCCCCCTCCACCCCCAAACAGGGATGCGAGGCCCGGACCTCAACCCCGGGTACACCGCGTCTTATGGATTCTTTTGTTAGAGGCGCGGTGGGCTGGGGCGTGG